TTTCAATACTCCTTCATTGCATAATCATTCCTATTTTTCTTAGCTATTTGAGAGCCAATTCTTGAAGAAATTGTCGTGTTCTTGAGCGTTTACTAGTTCACTCATATCTACTCTTTGTGAGAGTTTCATTCCTGAGTGTTTAAGTGTTTTCATACACTTTAAGGGAGTTTGTTCCCTTGTTGTAAACTCGAAGGAAGTTTCTTGTTCCTTCGTGAGAAGTCTTGGAGTGCGGTATCTCCGAGCAAAGGTATTGAGGCTCGTGTGACTCGGGTTCTCAAGTTGTATCGGTTTGTTAAGCACCCTTAAGCTTAACAGAGTTAGTGTAGCTCGAGAGAGTCTCTCGGGGGGCTGGATTAGCCACACGTTGTGGTGAACCACGATAAAATCTGGTGTGCTCCTTCTTTACGCTCTTTACTTTAACGCTCTCGTTTTAATTTCCTGCGATTTTGTTTTAAACGCTATTCACCCCCCCTCTAGCGTTGGGCCTTTATTCTAACAGATACGAGTCCATGGGGCATGCTTTATTGAGATCTATATAATCGATGCACATACGCCAAGTGTCGCCCTTTGGTGCTAGGACAACGTTTGCCAGCCAAGCCGGGTACTGGACTTCTCTAATATGTCCGACCGCCAACAGATCCCTCACTTCTTTCTTAACAAACTCCCTCCGGACGTTTGCTAAGTGCCTTTTCTCTTGTTTTACCGGCCGGCTACCCTCCATCACAGCCAACCGGTGACTAGGGGTGGACACGGTACGGTTCCGGGATGGTTCCGAAACCGCCGGTTCCGGTACCGCCACCTCATGGCACCGGTACCGTGACCGGACCGGCCAATACCGGCTCTGGTTCCCGGATCGGCGGTTCCGGTACCGGACCGGCCGGGTTCGGCCCCCCCTATTTTTTTTGCTTTTTTTTAAATTTTTAAAGTATAAAAATGTAAATTTGTAATTGTTTAAGAAAAGAATGAAATAAAAAATCTAAAAATGTAGTTGTTATTTAAATATTGAAAATGAGTAATACACTAACAGAAGAACAACCACATTTAATATCCTGACGGTTCAAAAAAAGCGACGAGGTAAAGAACCGTAAAGAAACCCTCGAAGGAGCTTTATATCGCTCACCTAAAAAAACTAATTACATATTTACATTAACATAAAAAAAATTATAACTTATTCTTCAGAACTCGGACTTCCATCTGTGGTTGCATTCATGTAATGCTCCGATTCGAGTTGGTACGATGACTATTGAGTTCGACGTCTTGCCAAGAGAGCCAATCTTGGTTGCAAACCAGTGTTTCAAGAGATTCAGCGTTAAGACAACTTCGGTAGTCGGTTAGAATGTTGCCGCCAACACTAAATTCTCGTTCAACTGCTACGGTTGATGCCAGGACGGACAACACTTGTCTTGCTAGCATGCCGAGACATGGGAACATGTGTTCGTTCCGCTTCCACCATCCGAGCACGTTAAAATCGACGTCGTCGTCATCGTAATAGCATGGCACACCCTGGTACATAGCAAGTTCGTTGTGCGAGCTTACTGTTGTACCACTTGAACTCGTCGAAGACTGGGCACGCTTCCCTTTCTTTACAACAAGGCCACCGACTATTCCGGCAAAACCTTTTTTTGATTTCGGGGGCGGAGGTGGTGCTGTTTCTTCTTGTACAGTACCGTATAACCCTTGATATTCCTTAAACAAGTCCTCAAAAAGAGTTATAGCATTATCTCTTTCATTTTTCCATTCTACAAAATAGCTGTAGTAATAACTATTTTTATCTAAAAAACAACTGTAGTAATACTCAATTAGAATTTTAAAATTTTCAATCTTAAATCGTGGATCACAAATAATACCTATTTTATAAATATCAAGAATGTACAAATAATAAGTACACCATTTATCTCTCATAGGAGAGACATAAGGGTACAAATCTGGATCAGCCATACTTTCACGAAAACATGTTGCGATTGTAATGCACTCTTTAAAAAATGTATTTGTAGTTGGTTGGTAAACATGGGAAAACGTAAGAGTTGCGTTATTAAAAATTTCTAATACGACATTCAATTTTTCAACAATAACAAATTTAAAAGGATTAATGATTATACGAAGTTCATCCCTAAAAAATTCAGCAAGTTCCTCTTTATATCTTAGGATCTGTGCAATCAATTTGTAAGTACTATTCCATCTAATGTTGATATCTCTGGCAGAACTTATTTCTTTTTTACCCTTAGACTTACAGAACATCTTCCAGGACCTCGAAATAAGACGAGCCCCCCAAATTTTTTTAATTCCTTCTTTAATATTTGTCAAAACTCCGCCCATAGCTTCTAGTCCCTATTGAACACATAAATTTAAAACATGACACGCACACCGTTGATGCAGAAATCTACCCATAGTCGTAAACGGTGGGCAAATTTCTCTAAGTCTAGGAATAGCAGCAATATTATTAGTAGCATTATCAAAACCAAATGAAAAAACTTTTTCTCATAAGTTATATTCCTGCAGAATACTCTGAAGCAATAGAAAAATATTTTCAGCAGTATGCTGATCATTGAAATCACGAAATGCAAGAACACGTTTATGCATAATCCAATCACTATCTATCCAATGACAAGTAACACCCATATATGACAAATTATGATAAGTTTCACCCTAAATATCAGAACAAATAGCAACACGAGAATTAAAATTGAGAAAAAAATTTGCCAAATTAATTTTTTCCATTTTATACTAGCGAATAATTTCTCGTTTAATTGTTTTTCTTGAAAAACCTCGTGCTTGAGGGTTTAATGCCTGTTGACAATAATCAATAAATCCAAGTTTTTCAGAAAACATGTATGGCAAATTTTCTTCACAAATCATTTCGGCCATTTTTTGCTTATTTTGCTCGTCGCTATAAGCAAAAAGGCCGCCCTTATCTCTGTTAGCAAACCGAGAAATTTGGGTTTGCACTTCTTGTCGTCCCTTCTTTTTCGCCGAGTATTTGGCGTACTCCACAGGATGCCTCGACCTTAGGTGTTTTTCCGGACCGCCATATCTGCCGGAAACTCCCATTTTAATGACGGTCCCACAATAATTACAAGTTCCATAAACTATGCCATCTTTTGTTTCTTTTTCAAAATGATAAACAAATAAATCTGATTTTAATTTTTTTTACCTTTGTCCGGACCTCGAGCGGTCTCGGGCTCACCTGCCTCCACGTCGAAGTCGTTGCTTTGCGGTGTAGGCTCACTGTCCCCGTCAAGATTATCCAGTCCTGCTTCATCAACATCCTCGAATAGACTATCAAGAGTGGGGAGATTCGCGTCCCCTCTACCAGAATATATCTGGTTGAATTCTTCATCCGTCATAGCGTCCCCGATTAAATGATCTAGGACAGTAGGAAACGAAGAGACGGAGTGTCTTCCTCGAGAACCGCGTGAGGTCGAACCGTCGGAGGTGGCTGTAGCTTTGCCTCTCCTCAAACGGTTCACGGCCCAAACCGGTACCGTGTCCAGCCGGTACCGGTGACAGATGATGGACCGGTTAATGCCCAAAATATCCGCCACACTCCAAGCGAATATGCCGGCGAACTCCCGAAGGACTGAGTTGATTTCCTCTAGAAGTCCTCCAGGCAGATCTCGGCCTATCCTCACCATTCTCTCTGGGAATGCTTCTCGGAGAACAATCTGCTTGGTCTCATCACCCGACTCCAACTTTGACCGGTCTTCCTCCTGGGAAACCAGGGTAACCCTTTCGAATGCCTTTGTCATCTTCTTTACGGCTTCAAGATAATAAGACCGGGCCTTCTTCTGATCCCCTCTGACTTGCCCTATACCACCCGGCGTATAGAACTTCATACAGAGGTGGGCCATGGAGATGATTCCACGGACTTTGTTTATTCCAGGCCGGCCCAAGATCGCATTGTGAACACATTTGATGTTCACCACCACGAACCTCATCTGCTTCAGGATAACTTTGTCTCCCATGCCCAGTTCGCATGTTAAGAGGATTGACCCGTCAGCTTTCACAGTCACCAGTGAACCCGGACAGGGGAGTCTTTAAGGGTTCAAGCCGTGTTCGACACAGCTTGAGTTTCTCAAAGGCCTCCCAGTACAAAAGGTTGACACTACTGCCCGTGTCAACCAGTATCCGGGAGACATCAACTCCACCCATATCCATGGTTATGACCAGGGGGTCATTCTAATCTTCCCCAGTGGTGGGAAGATCTCGATCCGTGAAAGTGATCGGATCCCGTCTGGTCTGCTTTGGTCGGGGACCTGAGGCAACTGTGCCAACGTAGAGTTCCAGCCCCCACTTCTTTCTTTGAGAAGCAGAATCTCCTCCTTCTGGTCCTCCATAAATAACCTGCAAGTGCTCTTTACCGGCTGCTTTCTTCTTCTTGTTTTGCTCGGCCGGTTGTCCCTCAGGCCGGATCCATTGGTTCTTCTTCTGCTTCGCATGAGCTAGATACTCTGGATCAAGCTCTCCGGCCTCGATCATCTTCTTTATTACCCCCTTAACACTATTGCAGTCAACAGTGTTATGGGAGTCCGTTTTGTGAAAGGAGCAATACTTCTCGGTCCACTGCTTCTCCCCGGCTAGTTTCTTCTCTGCCTTGGCCGGCTTCACCTCCATGACTTCTGCTTTTACCCTGCCGGGCAGTTCGATATCCTTTTTCAAGGAAATCCTCCCTTTGGAGTGGCCCTGCTCGGCTTCCCTTTTGGAAGACACATGCGCTTCGGTGTCAGCATAATCCCATGCCATGTTGTAGGCCTCTTGGTAAGACTGGGGAGGTCTCTGGCAGAATTCCTTGTATAATTCTCCGGAACGAAGCCCGGAGAGCAGGAGGGACATTGCAGTTTTGTCGTTCATCTCCTCTACTTTGTCCACTTCATCCTTCCACCACGTGAGGAACTTGGTCAAATCTTCGTGTTCCCTCTGCCCGGCCGTACTCAAGTAGGTAAATTTCTTCCTCTTGCTACAGTTTTCTTTGAAATTCTCTTGAAACACCTCGGCCAGCTCATCAAAAGAATCAATTTCACCGGCTGGGAGGTTGTGAAACCACTCGGTGGCTCGGCCGCGGAGGGTTTGGAAGAAAAGTAAACACTTTTCGTCCCTGGAAATACCCATCATTCTCCCACTTTAGTGGAGGGTTTTGACGTGTATTTCCGGGTCCTCCTTGCCGGTGAGTTTTGGGACTTCTAGCTTTGCCTTTTTTGGGAATGGGGTTTCGTGCACCCAGTCCGTGAGCGGAGATTCATTCAGTAAAGCTTTATTCTTTTCGTCCCGGTCTACCCGTCATTGCAACTTTTCCAATCGTGCCTCTACTCGGCCCACACGGTCCCTGGGCTGCTCAACGTGTGTGCGGACCGTGTGCCCTGGGTGGCTTTCCGCTTCCTCCTCTACCATTGGCACCGGGCTGTTCTGGGGTTCATCGTGAGGGGGTGGTTCCGTTCACCTGGTCCGACCAGGTCACCCAACCCCTCTCCCCAGCCGGTCGCACGGACTTATCGGGGTCGTTCCACTCCCAATCGCTCTTTAGCCGGTCAGTTCTGGTTTCTGCAGTCATGTCCTAGCCTCTAGAACGCTGACCGCCTAGATCCTTCAGGCTGGACTGCCTTTCCTTTTAACTTCTTTTGGGCCTGAGGAACATCCCAATCCTCATCCTTGCTTTGGACCGATCGCACGTCGCCATCTGGTGTTAACTAGGCGTGTGATCTCCTGGACCGACTCCTTCTAGACCGGGATGGACCAACTTTGCCCATCTCCCCGACCAGATTTGTTGGAACGACCGGCTGGATGACGTTAGTTTGTGGGAATGATGATGGGTATAACCCAGGGATGAAAGGGGAAAACCCTCCAGGCTGTTGGAGCATGGACATGAACTGTCCAAAACTTTGGAACGCCTGGGAATACATCGGGTCAATGGGCCCGGGAAAGTTGGGAGGAAACACTGGGACAGATGTTACAGGGGAAGTGAACGGGGTGGGTGTTGGAATGGTGATTATAGGTGTAGGGATTGGTGTAGTAGGAAGGGTAGTTCCTCCCGGGAACGACGTAACGTTCTCAGCGGGGGTAGAAATATGTGAAATGTCCGTTTCATGGTTACTCGTCATGGCTTCTTCTAATAGGTCCCACGGGTGGCGCCAATTTGATGGTGTAAATTACCATGCAAATACTAAGTATAAGTGATCGGAAGGGCTGTAGGTGGAAACACCTGTAACCCGGTTTGTTATTAATGATAATATGACTATTACAAAGTACAAGCTGTAACACCCGCCTTCTGTGGACCCGGTTTACCCGCGATCCAACGAACCGGTAAGGTTACATGGGCGATCCGAGAACCGTCCGTAACGGAAAAACATTAATGCTCATTTATTATGAAAACGGTTGTGCTTAATTGATGGAATAAATGCTAGGGAGTTATCCCCAAAACGTGTGTGTTATAAATGCAGAGTAAATCGGAAGTAAATAGCTAAGTCCAAAACAAGTAAAACGACAAATGGTGGGTTCTTGCCCAAATGATTAATTTATTAAATGTATATAATTATTAAACTTGTCCGTGCACCGCCCATCTTGCCATCATCACTGTCCTCCAGGGTTAGCACCTGTATCGTCATGTCTACCTGCGTGTAGCAAAAACAACTACACGCTCAGCAAAAGCTGAGGAGTGAATCTAACAAAAGAACATTAAGTGATAACCCATATGATTATACACATATTGATACCTGTACTTAACGTATGGAAAAACACATGTTTACTAACTGTTTTGTTTGCACCTGTTGAGGTACTATTACATATAACAAAATGATGTGCTACCACATTGAATGTTGATGTGATGTGGAATATACATGATGATGATACGACTTGATGCATGACCTAAACTATCAGGGACACCCCTGGCTTAGCCTCACTTGACAGGATCACCCCTGCACTCCGGTTGTCATACCGAAACGGTAATGAGCCGAGAACAAGTGGACTAGCAAAAACGGGTAGTAGTCGTAACCTGACTACTATGTACGTACACAAGGCCCACTTGATGAAAACCCGTTAGATCCTAAAGGTTCCTGGATGGGCCCACTGTAGTAGGTGCACGAAAGCCTGACCTCCTTACAGCGGCATGCACATGATGATAAACCTAGGACATGCGTCTAGGATGTACATGATGAATGCTTGACATATTTACATTTGATCAACGCCAAGAATATATCAATTATATAACATATACAATGAAGATTAACATTTCATGCAAACATACAATCAGATTCTGGGTCGTTATGGTCAACGGGAATCGTTCTACAAACTGCCCGGAAATCTGTTCGAGGAACAGTCGACCGTGCCCTACCGGCGGTCGACCGTGAGCTACGGTCTGGGTCACAAACGGTCCACCTAGGTCTTCCGTCGCGGCTGACGGTCGACCGTCCCAGTGGTGACCGTCGGATTGGCTGAGGGTACGGTCCACCGTCCGAAGCGACGGTCGACCGTCCGGTGACAGTCTTCTGTCCTTAGCTTCGTTTTGATCCATTTTGAATACTTAACACCTTGATTCTTTTTAGAACAATAATACAAACATTGATGAATATATTCCTAGTAATTTCTAGGCCGTTATTTATACAAGTTTTACGTAGTGAACGTTTTGATGGCTAACCTACGAACATTCATAGATCCTACGTAGAATGTGTACGATATTCCTATGAATATAACGACATAGATTATAACTAAATGTTCTAGAATTAGAGGGGACAACTACTCACCTCTAATGAAAGAGTTGACGGAACGATGAACGAGATGAACAAACGAACGAACGCACGGACGGCTTCACGCGTAGCCCTCCTTCTCCTCCTCCTCCTTCCTCCTCGACTAACCCTGGAAAACCTCCTTTTGCTGCTGCTGCTTGGCCGAACAACACAAGGGGAAAGGAGTTGTGTGTGAATGCTTGGGAGTTACAAATGATGGGGAAAATGAAGAGGGGAAGGAATAATTTATTGAAAGGGAATTAAAGGGAGTTTAATGGGAAATAATGTTAGAATAAGTGCCCTTCACTACAGGGGGGGTGAATAGTGAGGCACGAGAATGTTTATAAATTTTCGCGGAATAAAAATCGCAGGGATAAAGTAAAGAGCGGAATAAAAAGGACTAAAGGGAGCACACCAAGATTTACCCTGGTTCACCACAACTTGTGGCTAATCCAGCCTCCCGAGAGACTCTCTCGAGCTACACTACTTCCGTTAAGCTTACGAGTGCTTAACAAACCGTTACAACCTGAGAACTCGAGTCCCACGAGCCTCAATACACTTGCTCGGAGATACCGCACTCCAAGACTTCAACCCGAAGGAAAATACCTTTCCTTCGTACAACCAAGGGAAACAAGCTTCCCTAAACGTGTTTACAACACTAAGACTACTCAAGAACAAGACTCTCTTTAAGAGTAGATGTTGAGTAAACTATATACGCTCAAGAACAACTCAAACTTCACAAATTGGCTCTAGAAAGCTATGGAAAATAATGTTGTTTGGATGCAATGATAATATGAATAAAGTGAAGTGAATTG